TTTGTGGGAATAGGTTGAGTAGTGGAGGTTGTATCCGCTGGTGTAAGGGCCAACTCAATATGATCGGCTTGACGAGGCCCATGGATCATGCCACACGGATCATCAATGTTGCTTGAGGCAGGAGGCTCGAAGGTTGGATCGGACGTCGTCTCTGCTTGTGGATCCTGTACTATTGGTAGTGCCATTTCGAGTTCCACCATCTCCGTCGAAAGAATGGGTGTCCCCACTGCAACGCCCWACTCCACCAAATCGACAATACGCGGGGGGTTGGCTAGTTCTGCATCTCCAAGATCGAATGGGGGTATGGTTATCTCTACTCCATCCGTTGCCTTTTCATGCAACGACGCTTCTACATGAACCACATCATCCTCCTTTCCAGCATCGGAACCTCCAGGTTGATGGTCATCATCATCCCCATCATGCTCGGGGATAACATTGGATACCAATGGATGTGACAAGTGGACTGTATCCGACGGAGAGACACCAATATTCACCTCGCACCTATCGATCTGCAAACGAACTAACGTATTAACACTTCGATTGAATGAATACATACAGTATACGAACTATACCAAGTCATAGGAAAAGGCTACTTGGCACAATCGTTGAAGCATGAGTTCATTTCACTCAAGTCCGACTTGACCTCTGCCAAATCCGTCTTCACCTCCGCCATGTCCGAAGCTAAAAGATCCAACCTTCTCTCCATAGCCCCGAATCTATCATTCGATCCACGGGTGTCGTGCCGTTGTGTAGGGCAAGCATCGCATGACGTCGCTCGCGGTGATCGCCGCGTGCTTTGCCCCACATTCGACCGAATAGAAGTACTTGGTCGAAGTACTTCGACCGGTGTCCATTGCCCACCTTCAGATGCGGCCTCTGTACGTGGCATATCCGAAGACTCATCTGGCACTGCCTGTACATTTGTTTCCAACGAATGCGCATTGTCGAGTGGGAGATCGTCTTCGACGCCAAAATTGTCGGTGATGGGAGAAGGATTTTGTCCATCATCGCTGTCGGAGGTGGAACACCCAGGCGCATTTAAATCAATCACCTCTCTTTCGTCCAATGGWCACCTCTGGTAGTCCTTATCCAGATCCGTCTCCACGAGTGGATAAGATATGACCAACTGAACATACATCACAAGAACATAAGTAAGTGTAAATACCATTACAACTAGACAGCAATAAATATATTATAGATCACTTACCACCGCTGAACCAAAGACCTCCTCCCCCAGATCTTTTGTACCGACGACTCTACTACACGAATACCGAATTATCCGGGGAATGGCGGTCTCGCTCAAACGATTGACACCGAGAGTGATGAGAGATGGGACAAACTCATATATCCACACTTGAATATAAAATTTCAGTTTAGTCTCACACCTAAAAAAGTTTTCACAAACAAGAACAACTCGTATGTATACGTATTGATTACCTGAAACGCAATCGGAAATCCCGGTAGGCTATATTTTACWAGATACTTTTTGTTCGTTCTTACTTTGTTCTTGTATAGCCAACTTTTCCATTCATCGCACGCTTCAGGCCGTTAACTGTCCTACTCACGACATCAGAACCCTAGTCCAAATGGTTGAAGTAGTCCAAGTCATCGACTTGGTTGTACAAGTCGATGTCAACCTTCGACTTGCTCTTGCTCTTTCCCATCATCACAAGCTCCGTGTACAAAATTAATGTCACTTTAACCGCGTCCTCATCGTCCTCGAAATCAGTCTGCTTGTAAACCTCCACAAACTCTTCGAGCATCATGGAGGCTTCATCGTTGAAGTACTTCCTCCGCAACCTATTCTTTCCAATCTTTTTCTGGACCACCTTACCGGGCAGCCGCCACAATCCCGTTATAAGCATGAATTGATCCTTTGAGAATGTGAACACGTTGCCACCAATTAATAATTTCACGCTGTCGTCACTGCTCCCAGCAACCTCCCTTGACAGAAAGTGATGAACTACACCACTGCAGAACATCATCTCCAAGTCGACAAATCGACCAAATATTGTTCTTCTACGAAACATATCAAGTTGGTCCACTGTGAGCTTATCCTTGATAAGCCTGTTGACATTGCTCAAGTGAGACATGCTGGTAGCTTGAGTTGGAAAGCGGTCATTCTCCTTAATCCTCAACTGATGGTCCATTGTGCACCTGCAACAAATTGAACCAGATATATGATGACAAATTAAGCAGATAGAGAAACGGAAACACGCAAGTAGTTCAAAAATTTAATAATTAAACATGATACATAACCACGGATTAAGAAGATAGGGAAAAGGAAACACGCAACTAGTTCAAATACAAAATGTAAAACACTGTAATTTTTCTCGATCTCGATGTTTCTCGATCTAGATGTTTCTCGCTCTCGATTTTGCTCGATTTTGCTCTACCTATTTCACACCCTATAATTGCAAATCAATGGAGCTTCTCTCGTTCACGATATTTCTCGCTCTCGATCTTTCTAGCACTCGATGTTCTAGCTCTCGATGTTCTAGCTCTCGATATTTCTAGCTCTGAATTTTTCAAGTTCACTGTATCCATCACGATGATTCTCGATTTCGCTCTTCCTAGCACACTCACGATGATTGTAAATCACTGGAGATTCTCTCGTTCTCAATATTTCTCGCTCTCGATATTTCTAGCTCTCGACTTTTCATGTTCACTGTATTTTTCGATCTCATTTTTGCCTCTGGCTACTTCAACATCAGCCTCCCCTCAGTATTATTGGTTTTCAAAAACWCGATTTTATAYTTCATCGATTCATTTCCATGGCGCCGATTATGTATTATTTTCCTCTTCTCCGAAAGCCCTAGATGTGCAGTGTAAAAAATCYACAAAAATCGCAAAAGAGACCGAAGACCAACATCGGGGTTGTACAGAACTTACGAACAATAGCTAAAATAGTGGAAATTAAAAYGAAAATCTTAAGCAATTTGAGAGATAAATGTACTAACCCAAAGTTAACGATGAAATCTCCTTCGTTGTAATCTGCTACCAAAATCACTTCGTCTCACCGCTTGAAGACGACAGGGTGGAACGGACGTGGGAAAATTGAAAGTCCGGACTATTCGTATTACCCAAGTAAGGGAGGAGGRAAAACTAAAATTTGGTACCCAAGTAAGGAGGGGCATTGGAGGTCATTTGACAAAGTAGGTGATGTCAGCAAATGACTAGAAAACTTGTGTTTTGAGAAGGGCGATTAAAAAACTTAATAGGTCCATACATGAGGCTTATTTTGTCAATTTTCCCATTGTAATATGCCATTTAAAATGTCACGTAATAATATCTTAACTCAACTAAATGAGGGACCATTAGCATATAAATAGTACAACTATGAGATGTTGGTTTGAATTATGATCTCTAGGAAAAGAGCAAGTTACTGGTACCTTAGTCGAGCTAAGTTATTTTTTATCCTTCAAATCATACKTTTTTTAGTTGAATATTCGAATCATGACCATATATTTATAATTCTATTTTTTTAAATAAAAAAGGTAAATTGCATGAACCATCTTAAAAATATGGTAATTGTTGTAATTGCAACCTTAAACTCTTAATCGTTAAAATTAAATTCTAAAGTGTCAATTTATTATAATTAAACTCTTCTGTTAATTATGCTAACAGTTCGGTTAGTAAAAAGATTTCAAGAAAAAATTCATTTTTTTTCAATAAAAGAAACTAAAAAGAAAAATTAGAAAAAAAAAGGGAAAAATGTACTCTCCTCTTCCTCWCGGCTGCAGCCGGGCGTGGGAATATGTGGTCTCAATCCTATCACTAAACTTTGAGATAAGTTTCAATTATTCTCTTATTATTTCAAAAGTTCCATTTTAATTCCTTACACGATTGTTTCATAATCATCATTCCACTTTCATATTAAAATGGAGATAAAAATATGATACAAAGGTGAGAAAGGTTTTRTTTTAGTACAACATGTGGAGGTAGGAGTTTGAACACACAACCTTTTGGTTGAAAAATACATGTCTTACGAGTCAAGTTAGGCAAAGGTTGCAAGTGTAAAATAAAAGCTACATATGAAGATAAATGGAAGTTGAAGGATTTTATTCACGTTCAAAATGGAGTCGATTAGGGACAGAAGTAGATTTGAGGAAAGTCATGCACCCTAAGAAAAGTCATAACTGGTAAAAATAAAAAGACCACATATCGGTAAAGCTGTAGAATGAGATCTAGAGAGAGTTTTGCAATAAGAATATGTTCCCAAAGAGAAAAATTATGGAAGAGTAGAGTTCATAGGAAGCACGCACTCGACGTTTAAATGTTGAAACCGAATAGAGGAAGATCGTATTCGTCTTCAAAGGTAACAAATTAGAGCAATTTGCAGTCCTTAAGTTACTATTCGTCTGTTATCCAAAATTTTTGTCAATCATGGAAAGCGAAGCCCCAAATTTTAATTTTAAGATTGTTTTGATCATGAGAGGAGGAACAATATTTTATCATAACCCCTCAAACTATTTCCCACAAAATGGCAGCTATTTTTTTTTTWATGTAATTTAAGGCTCTTCAATTTTGTTTACAGCACACTGGTAAAGAGAAGAAAAAGTATTGCATACTTTCCAGAGCAAATTCCCAAACAATCTTTCTCCAAAATGATGCATTTGCTTCCAAATTCAATATAAAATGGGGCAGAAAAGTTATTGGAATAAACAAAGTAAAAAGCTCAACTTCCAAACATCACTTAAAAAGGACAACACTAGTCAATTACAAACAAATCTTCAACTCTTCATAAAGTCATTGCCCCCCTTGAATGATATAAAATACAAAAATTCAGACCCCCAATGGTGTAGCTGATTACTCATAAATCAATATGAACCTACCTCAACCAATTAAAATACTTATCTCCRATCAAATGATCATGAGTTCAAATCTTCACTCTACATATTGTACTAAAATAATAATAATAAATAAATAAAACTAATTAGTCAAACAAAGGTAAATGACAACATCTTCATACGGTGATCAAGTACAAAGAAAATCCGATGCAAAGAAGAACAACGAAAGGCGGGAAACATCAAATACAAATAACGATATTCAACCCCTGTTTATTACTTCTCATTTCCCAGTCCATTAGAAAGAAAACCATTCCTAATTATTACACAGCATCTAAGTTACAATCTACCTCTTGAAACTAATGTATGAATCCATATATGCTAAAACAACAGAAAAAAAAAATTAAAGGGGAATGACTTTGTGGACCAAATTTATACCGACAGTAAACAATTTGATCATATGCAGAAAATTCTGAATTTGGGAAGGTAAGTTCAGTTGAGAAAATATACTTTTCCTTTCCTTGCTTGAGGAAGTGGATTTGGAAGAGAGAATGTGTTGTTGCTGAACCAAGTTTGTTGAAGATTTTTCATGATTGCATAGAATGAGCAGTCGGCGGAAGGATTGTATTCGCTAACTCATCGTTCACCTTCACTGGAAGAGGCGGCATCTGCTTCATTACTTCGGGCATTTCATTCAAGCTACAAACATGAAAATATTGAAGAGAAGTTGGTTAGAGCATTTTTGTCTGCAAAATTCTGCTTAAACAAGAATTCCCATCAATTCACCAGAAAAAGAATAATAGAATCACAGAAATTAGTAGAGGTCCTCTGCYTTATAATTCAAATTAACACTCTACTAGCTGGAAATTTTCGGGTTTTAATGATAAATATCTCAACATATCTACTAGTATCAAGAGTTCTCGTAACTATCCATACAGATTGTAAGAAAGTTGATGTTGTGCATTACTTCAGTTTCTTGGCAGCCTTTTGTGTTAAATTTTACCGTTTGACCGTGTATAGCTGTAAATTCTTTCTTTACTCTTTACTTTTATTTACCTCTAACTAAAAGAGAGGATTGACCTCAACTCTTTGACGGTTTGACCCACTAGGATAAAACATGAAGAAATACAAGAGATGTACATTGTATCAGAGCATGACTCGCTCACTGTTTCTCTTTTTCTTCATCTGGTTTTCCCCCTCCCTGAAGTTCATCATCCCTCAACAATCAACAATCACATTTGTTGAAGTCTCATCCGGTTGAAGGTTATCTAGCCACCCAGTATTATCCGAAGGTTCATCAATAATAAGCATGGTCAGCAGGGTCTAAAGTAGTTTCAGATGTTGCAATTGCTTGATATTTGATCATAATAGGTCTCGTTCTTGTTCGCAATATTGCTGTGGGAATTCTTGGCTTGGTGGTTTGTGATATTCACTTCATCAATTGGTACTCTTTGGGTGTAATCATTGGGTGCTTTGTCGAAATCTCTTCAAGTATCACAATCTACTTTGCTAGAATTCCTTTTTTGAGACTTGTCTTCATCATAGAAGGTTGTATTTTTTTCGTTTGATTTGTCAGATTCTGAAGATCAGTGAGTGCATTTGTTATTGGGCATTTCATAACCCCCAACGTAGTGTCAGGGATRCATTGCTGCCCCATCAAGATCTATCCAAGCTACTCTGCCCACTCAACCAATCTCGGAAGGGGCCACTGTGATCCAACTCAGTTGGATATGTAATACAAATGAACAGAAATATGCTTCAATGGCCCCAAGTCAGTTGAATGTGTAAGACAAATGAACAGGAATGTGCTTCAATGCAACCGAATATACAAAGATCGCTAGAAAGAAGAGAATAAACAAGTTCCTATTGGGCATCAAGAAAAATTTAGATGAGGTAAGAGGAAGAGTTCCTGCCACAAAACCTTCTCTAGTATTAGTGAAGACTGCGTATAGATATGTGGAGGAAAAAAAAAGTGTTGAGAATCTATATAAATGAATTAAATTTACCCGACTCATCAGCTTACAGCTTTTGGGTTGAGTGGTGGTTTATTCATCTTTAACATGGTATCAGAGCGGGAGGTCCTGTGTTCGAACCCCAACATTGTTGTTTCCTCCCCATTTATTTTGATTTCCACCTACTGGGCTTGTCAATTATTTAAGCCCACAAGTGAGGGGAGTGTTGAGAATCCATATAAATGAATTAAATTTACCCAAACCATCAGTTTAAGCTTTTGARCGTTTGAGTTGAGTGGTGGTTTATTCCTCTTTAACATTTCTAAAGAGAAGATCCCAAGACTTAGATCCCCTTTCCAGCATTGTTTTATGAAATGACCCAGTCTTGGGTAGCTAATCTTCAAGGGAATATTTCCACACCAAGGATCATCCAATAATAAGACTTTGTCACCTTTTCCTGACTTTACTTTTTCATACACAAAAAGGTTTATTTATATTTTCAATTTTGTTTGCTTTGCGCTAACTCTTAAGAGAACCATTGCACTTCACTATGCCTCGTATTTTAAAAAGTACTGGGTAGTTTAGTTACAAAGTTCACATTAAATGTGGACTTTCCATATATTAAAAGAGGATATGAATATTTGGGAAAACTTTGGGGAGCATAGCTCTTACAACTAAGGAGGAAAAGGTGAGGAAAAAAGCAGTCAAAGTAATGTTACTTACTCGTTCATTATTTTGAGGATGTTATCCCGCGTTTGGCAGAAGAGACTGATATTTTCTTGTATCTAAATAAAACAAAAAAAATATATTAGTTTAACCAATTTATTTTATAGCAAGAAATCTGTATGTCTAAATTCCCATTATCAAATGAACAAACATTTCCTAGTATAGCCACATCCCATGTTTTCGTTTTAGARAGAATATGCTCGAGCGAACAAATATATACATACATATTTACATATATTTACATAAAAACATGACAGCCCCAGTGAAGAAAGTGTATTCGAGAAAGAGAGGAATAGAGATAGAGGAGTAAGAATTRGAATGGGTGTTARTGGGACCTAGTTCGTTAAGGGGCTGTATAGATATTTTGTAATAGAGTAAATACACCCATGGTAGAAGGTAAGGATATCTTTTTGCCGTYTTGTCTGACTCTTTGAGAGAGGTATAGAAGCTCTCTAATTCTCCCTTGTCCCTTGTAATGCCTTGTGAATATAAATAATAGAAGAGAGTTCTATCAAAACACACATACATGAAATTAAGTGATTTAAAAAAAAATGCAAAGCAAAAAGTTCGAAGGAAAAAAAAAAGAATCCATGCGTCCAAATTCTGACAAATTATCAGCAGGCCACCACCAAATTTCGCCCTCAAGTATTTTTTGGATAGAGAAAAAAATGCTAGAATTACTGGAGCAACGGAGAATACAGCAGATATAAGGAGTTTCCCAAGAAGCAAAAGGGACTTACGAAAGTTTCAACCCTAAGCATAACTCAAAAAGTTATACAGTTACAAGGGCTTTCGTCAAAGAAATTACAATTGAAAAAGACAAGGAAAGGAAAAAGATCTACTTGCTCTCAGTCTCAACTATTAAAAAGGGTTGTCACAATTCTATGAAGGGAAAATTAAAAAAGGAATCTCCAGAGATTCTATTTCATAACCAACAGAGTGCAAATCCTGATGTGTAGTGCAAAAGTTAATATATCAGAAATGTYGAAAGACAAAATTACTCGGGATTATTTAGAAATGGCTCTAAAATCAACAACCAACACCGAGTGAGATATGTTGGGAGTAAATTTTGGCTTTACTTCCAAATGCTAAAACAACATCCAGACAGCCAAGTCCTTTACCTGAAAAGATGCAAGATTTGAAGAAATTTGATTCATGGCATGTGCATTCTGTTCAAGAAGCTCTCCTGTTGTACCACCAATAGCTGGAAGCATCACAATGACCAAATGCAAATGTTAGAAACAACGGCAATTAAGTGATTGTGCTAAGAAATTTTTAATTAGAATATCTATACTAAAAAAAAAAAAATCTTATCCAAAGTTAATAAAGAAGAAATCACTGACATGCAGGTATTTTTTTTTTAAATAACAATAAACAATTTTTGATTGATAATACGAAGAGGGAGTGAGATGGGAAAATGCAAGGGGTTATATTGATACATGTTTCTTTTTTTTCAGGAAACTTGGAGGTTGAACCTCCAACCAAATTTTCATTCACCTTCATGCATATTCCTCATAAAGAATTGTAGAAGAATTTTCCAACTTTTTTTTTTTTTATAAGAAACAATGGGATTGTATTCGAAAACAAAAAAAGCCTGGAGGCAAACAGAACAGCCTAGTGGCAGAGGGTCGAGGGGACCCTTCCCGAGGAAACTATACAATCAAGGAGTTCCAACTTTGATAAATCAAAAAGAACCCATAGTTACAAAAAACCTTCTTATGAGTCGAAGCCCACCAAGAAGCTATATGCTTAATATTCACACTAAAAGAGTCAAAAGAAGCCTCTTTCTCTTCAAAAAGTCTATGGTTTCGTTCCTTCCATAGCAACCACAAAAGAGCTCTAGCTGCACAATTCCAAAGAACATACGCTTTTCCTTTGAGTCTGGAGCCACCAAAACCTTCCGCTACAAAATCATCAATCCTCCTAGGAACACAGATTGCAAGATCAAAGAGAGAAGCTACGTAGTTACAAGCCCTAGTAGCGAACACACAATGAAGAAAGAGATGATCCACTGTTTCAGCGCTATTAATGCACATGGTACAAACTGAAGGGGAAAGTCCAATGAGGAAGCTTCCTTTGGATTTTATCGGCGGTATTAGTTCCCCTATAGAAAAGAGTCCAAAGGAAAACCTTTACCTTTTTAGGAACCTT